AATAGATTTCCAAATGAAAAGACCACACTTTGAATCCACTCCAGACCTTTTTTCCTGCTTAATTGATGAAGAAATAATAATGGAGTAGCCCACACCTGGCCATGAAACAGCATTTGATTCAATTGTCCAATTACTTTTGGTCCCTTGAAAAAGGAGGGATGGCTACTCTTAAGAGCTGTAATTCCTAAACCCTTCCTCCAATTTGGATGTACATACCCTCAAATTAAACCTAAGAGTTTGCACTTTCAGTCTATATCGGTTATTTAAACTATATCTTGAATATGTTTTGGTAAATACCTGAGAAAAAAAAAAGCAAAAATTGTGCCTGTGTCCAAATATGTATAGCCCTAACTGTGTATGCTGAAGCATAGGAGCGATCCTGCCACTGGCCACCCCAGGCCCCCATTCCTGGGCATATAAGTTCTTTTTTAACTGCTAATGGAAAATCCCATCCAGCAGTGCTGCACACACTGAAGTATATTGTGAGAGCACACCCTGTTAGAATAAACAGATTGGTGCTGCAGCTGAATGGCATTCCTGCAAAGAAAACAACAATGGTTAACAATAAAACAGTAACAATAGAACAGTAATTCAATAAAATGACAACTATTTTTGTTTTTTTTTATTTTTCTCTTTTTTTTTACTTTTTTTTAAAACTGCAAACTTTCCAGAATGGTGAGGTCTCTCAAAATGCGATAGCCAGTTTCTTGACTACCTAACATCTTTCGAGACCCTGTGTAAATATGTGCCCTAGACTGTGCCATGCTGTACCCTATACTAATACTCTACTAATGTGTGGTAGTAACGAAAGCAGTCCTTGAGGCACAGACCAGGTTAGCCAGGACAGGAGGGACAAAAAAGCAGGTGCACCTAATTCCGTGTCTGCTACAGACACAGCATCTTTTTTGGGGTGAATTTTGGGTTGGGGTATCAGAAATGCCATCGGGAAAAATGCCTCTCATGCAGCTGGCTCACTGCATCTGGGTTGGGGGTTTGCGCCACAGCAGTTTATGGATACAAAAGGGACATGATGATCTCTTCTTGAAATTTTAGAAAGGATCCACTTCATCCAGTTGCTTTGTAAAGCACAAAAGCGTTGTACAGAGCCAATTGAAATAAATATCCAAGACAATTTTTTGTACCAGCATCTGACTTTACGGGAAACTAAGTACGGCTTCATCATCAGTCGTTTAAATCCACCCCTCCCATTTTAAGGTTATAGTTGTGGATACAGAGGGCTTCTCAACACCAGCTGCTGTGGAAATTTGGATGGTCAAGGGTGCGTGAATGGAAGACAGGACGAAAACATCCCATTTGTCCTTCCACTTACCTGCGAGCAATTCATAATTTTTCAAGCAGGCTTTCTCCCCCTTTCTAAGTCAGATATTTACAAGCCATTGGGGAAAGCCCTGTGGATTAGGTCACACAGTGCCACATGTGGCAATTCCAAGACTGTACAGATGCCTAAATAGTGGCATGCTAGTATAAAAATTCTCCACGTATAAGTGGTGCCCCATACGGAAAAAGGGTGACACCAGGTCCCAACCTATCTTGCCACTGCTCCCCATGTAGTCTGGGCATCCGGGGGCTCCATGTGACTATCTCTTCCCTCGTAAATCCAAACATTACATGTATAGCCTGTTGCCCTTTCACAGGTCTTAAACATTTTGTCCCCATGTCTGCCACGCTTGCTGGGGAGAAACTGTTTGAATGCAAGGCAGCCCAAAAAATTAGTGAGACTCAACAATGCAGATGTTTTGCTGGGGCATATACACATCTGCAAATTTCTGGTTGAGGTGATTTACGAGGGGCCACATTTTGTGGAGCCTATCATATTCAGGGTCACCTATCTATGCCTGGTCATGGCAGCATAGAACACGAGCATATGATGAATTGGGTATGTGGACCATAACAACAACTCATTCTTTTTAGTAATGTCTATGTTGAGGGTTAGGCCCACAAAAATGTTAAATTCGGAAACCATAATGGTTTCCATGCAAATGGTCTGGCAAGGTTTTAATTTGGGTTGGCAGTGTTAAATTGTGCATAAAAACTGCTTTGATCCACAATCAATCCATACAGATCTTCTGTTACAAACAGCTCAAAAATTAAGCATGGGGCTAAACACAGGTGCTGGCAAGTGTTAGGGCTGATCCTGCTAATGCTGCATTTTTGGGGACACTAGACTATTGTGGACACTGGTATAGTTCTGATATTATCAAACATATTGATCTGTTCAGACACTATACTAGTAATGGAGGTTTATTGTGTATGTTAGCGTGTTCCTGGCAATCAGAGGGTTAAATGTGATGAATGATGTAGTGGCGGGCAATCTGACGCTATCTGGGAGGGACGCTAATTAACATGAACACTATCTGAAGTCGCCTGTGACACTAATACAGTGATCAGTAAAATAATCTGTACACTGTAATAATGACACTGGTGATAGGGCAGTGAAAGATGTGACCTAGCAGTGCTTTTACTGTGTAAGTGTGCTGCTTTGACTCATATGGATCTGCTTTCTCCAGGGAGAAAAGATTGCATACTTTTTTGTGCCTGTGTAATGTAAACACAGGCACAGGAAGACCTTTGATTCGCTACAGCCGATCAGCAGGTCTAGGCCAAACAACATTGGGCTGAATCTGGTAAGTGATCGGTTTTTGTACTGAATCACAGCACTGCCAGGCCGGCGGGCGTGCGTGCCACCCTTGCCCGTGAACATGGCAGGAACGCGTATCATGTAAATATATATGTGATTTTGCTCCGGGAGTCCACTGTAGCAGTAAAACAGTGTGCCATAGGGCAGAGTTTAGCTAGTTAATGTAGGAAAGGAAAATACCGTAATAACACATGGCTAAGAAGCACTAACAAATGCTTGCTTGTAGTAGGGCTGCCCCGTCTTGCAAGGATTAAATGGTTTAGGGCTAGGACATTGCAAAAAGCAGTTTACTTACCCTATACTCCTCTTCCGCTGGCTCCTATGGGTTGTAAGATCAGTTCCCATGGTCTTTTCTTCCCTACACTTCAGCAGTCAGATGCCCTTTGACATCATCCATCCCAATGCAGTGACCATAGCCCTGCATTGGATGTAAGGATGCTACCAGAATATAGGGAAGAAGAGGAGAGCATGGCTGTTGGGGGAGCAGAGGATTAGATAAGTACAACAGCTTTGTGTAGTCATATAAATGAGCGTTTAAGCCTTGTAGCTGGGGGGGCATGGTTTTGTTTTCTAAATTTTCAATTGTAAAGCATGCACACAGGATAGAAGAATTCTTGCACATTAGTAACAATGGAAAAATATAGCACGACTTTCTTTGTAAACTGCTGCCACTGAAAACAACGACTTTAGACTTTGCTGCGGTTATTGTGTGATAGAGAAGTGTGTTCTTCAGCTGGAAACCACAGGAGCAGGAGATAAGAATGAATTCTACCAACTGACAGAAGCACTTTTTTTTTTTTATCACACACAGATTTTTTTGTTTAAATAGACCAAAGTTAATGAGCCACTATAAAAGGCAATATCCTTCTTCTGTCGATTTACAATAGGAAGACTCAATACAGCATGCAATTAGCCTCAGTTCAAATTAGAATGCGGTGCGGGAAACCCATTATCCGTGTGCAATTCCCACATCGCAATCAAACCAAACTGCCCTTGCAATCTGAGCAGGTGTCAGTGCAATCTTAAAAACTCCCCAAACGCAGGTCACAAACGCAGTGTGTTTACATGCAACGGATCGCATGGTACAAAATGACCATGTGATCTGGTTGCAGTGCGTTCCCAAAGTTGCTGCATGCATGACTTTGGTGTGGATGCAGTGCGATTGGTGACCATTCAACATGAATGGACTCAAATTGCACCGTTCTGAATCGCATGTCATTGTACAGGAATGTGGTGCGATTCCTATGCAATTCATCGTGTGAACCTAGGCCTACAACTAGTACAAATAGTGCCTAAAGCTGGGTACACATATTCAGTTTTTTTTTTTTTTTTTTTTTTTTCATTTGTTGAATGAAAAAAAAACCTGACAGATTCCCACATCCACACAAATGATGTTTTTGCAGAGATCTTGCCCGCTTTCCTATTGTATTTTGACAACGGGTACTACCTCCTGTTTCGAATACACAGATCAGCACTGCAGCTATTGGCTGTTCCATTGATTGAATGCTGGTTTTGCAGCATGTCCATTTGGCAGAAGCTGATCGTTAGACAGCAGTACACATGGATCAAAATTCGACCAGTTCCTGCTGAATCAGATGATTTTTGCTCTGTGTACACCTTGCATTCGTTTAGTAAGAAAAAACAAATCGGCACAAGGGACATGTTCTGTATGATGTGTCACCTGTTGTTTCCAGGTTTAGTAGAAATCTTCCTCCTCTGATCCCCCTGCACCACAATAATCCAGTACAGTGGGGGTTAATGGAGCTGAAAGACCTATCCTTTGTTCTCATCAAGAGATCCCAACTCGCCTTTTCTGCCCAGTTCCTCCATTCATAGAAGCCGTACTATTGCCATATATTGGTTGAAGCACAACCAATGAATGGAGGGGGAGTCTGCTCAATTATCCACCCATTCTCCATTCATAGACAGTTCAACACTCATGGAAACTGTAAAAATGTTCCTTGTGCTGAGTTGTTTTAACTAAACTCAGGCTTTAATGTAGAATGTAAGGCCCCATGTACAGGGGACACTTCTGGACGATGGAAACTGACTGCTGGAAAATGTAGGTTAAAAAACATCTGTTTGCATAACATGTTTATGTGCGTTTGCGTTTAGAAGCGTTTTTTTTGAAGATAAGCACAGGAGAACCTCCCAAATGCCCAGAATGCACTGAAAAGTGGTAAATTATTAACTATTTCAGACTGTTCCAGAGAAATACAGAGAGTAGAAACAGACAGCAGTAGGTATTGAGATTAGCTTAGGTGTGAGTTGCTCATTAACATTTCTTGGTGGGAAGGTGTCTGGTGGAGTGAGTCATTAAGGCCACCTGGCAGGGGGTCTCCATGAGGAATTTGAGGTGTGAATGGTCATGAACATATCTTTTGTTTATAAGGGTGGGAGAGGTCTGAGGTGTGAATTGGTCATCACAATGTGTGACAAGCTTGGTAAGAACATCCTGTGTTCAGTGTTTTGTCCATCTGAGTACCTTGAAAATGCTTTGCATGCATTTTTCATGATGAAGAAAGGCTCTGGACAGCATCAGGAACTGGAAGAGTTAAAAAAAAAATTTCAGACGCAAACGCTTATAAATGTGATTTGCTGCATTTACAAGTGTTTTACGTTTGAAACGCTGATAAAATCAACTGTGTAATGCTAAGTTTTCTGCATTCAAAAAAATGATTGTAAACTCAAATGCCTGTAAAGGACTGTAAACGACGATGTGTACATGGACACATAGGAAAACATTAGGGAGAGTTCAAGGGCTGCTGAAAAAAAAAACTGAACAGCTCCTAAACGTGAGTTTATCAGCTGCAGTGTACATGAGCCCTAAATGATCTGTAAAGAACAGAATGGCAGCTGTAGAAAATAGGACTCGTATTTCTATATATATACTGCATGTACACACACTTACGATGGGCAACATAGACATTTCCACCCTGGAAAACAATTGAAGCAGGTTAAGTGTGTGCTTTTTTTGTTCCAATCTCGGTTTAGCCACACAATACCCTTCTGTTCTTCTGTATAACGATTAAAACCGAGGAAACAAAGGTTTATTATGGAGCTGCAAAGGATCAGCTTATTGGGAGAAGTTGGAATGTCTTCTCTTTATAATGTGTACAGTCACTCTCTTCATAGTTTAAAGTGGCCCCGAAGTCTTTTGTACAGTCGGGCCCCTCCTGCCCTGGCGCCTGACTTGGCTAAGCTAATAATAAAAGTGTTTAAACTCCTTACCTATCCTGGGCTCAGGGCCCTCTGGGTGATGGGCACATGGTTTTCCCCCCGTCACAAGTTGTAGTTCAGGGTGAGATCTGTGTGAGGTTCATTTTACTCATTTAGGAACATTGTGAACAATCCATCTCCAGTAACAGAAGTTTGTGCTCTGAGTGATGTGTGCTCCCCTCGGATCTCCTTCTCTCCGGGATAATACATGACCATGACCTTTCCATGAGGTGGTTTCTGATCAGCTTTGTTCTTCCAAAAGGGAAAATATCAAATGGAATGTATTGTTGGGACAGGTCCGTATTGGCTTTTATTTGACTGCATCTTTGTTCATTAGCCACTTGCCTACCGCACACTTTTACCCCCTTCCTGCCCAGGCCAATTTTCAGCTTTCAGTGCTGTTGCACTTCGAATAACAATTGCGCAATCATGCAACATTGTACCCATGTGACATTTTTATCTTTTTTTTTTTCACACAATTCGAGCTTTCTTTTGGTGGTATTTAATAGCCACTGGGGTTTTTATTTTTTGCACTGTAAAGGAAACAGAGCAAAAATTTGAAAAAAAAAAAAAAGTTTTTCTATTATAACATTTTGCAAACAGGTAGTTTTTTTTCTCCTTCACTGATGTGCACTGATGAGGCGGCACTATTTGGGCATTGATGAGGAGGCACTAATGATGCACTGATATGCAGCAATGATGGGCACTGATGGGCAGCACTGACTGATAGCAGTGACAGACAGCACTGCTGAGCACTGCTGGGCAGCACTGACAGTTGACACTGCTGGGCAGCATTGACGGGTGACACTGCTGGGCATTGATGGGTGGCACTGATGGGTGACATTGCTGGGCAGTGATGGGTGACATTGCTGGGCACTGTTCAGCGGCACTGATAATCAAGGCACTGATAATCAGTGCCCTGATTATTAGTGCAGATCTCCCATCACATTTGCTGGGTATCAGTAGTACTTTCCTCATCCTATGACAGCATGAGGAAAGTGCAGCCGATGACTGGCAACTGTATTTACATTGTGATCTGCTGTGTCATTGGACACAGCTGATCACATGGTAAAAGGCAACTGTGATTGACGTGATCAGCTGTGTCCGTAGGACACAGCGATCAGCGCCGTGTGCGCATCGCTGGAGGCACGCACTCTGGGAGGACATCCATGGACGCCCTCCCAGAACTGGACAACCACACTGTAGCTGTCTTTCGGCTATAGCGCAATTGGGAAGCGGTTAAAACATGCAGCAAAATATGTGAGTGCATAGCTGGTGAACAAGCACTTCTACCACCCAGTCATCACACCGCTGTCACAATCTGTGTCAGTAATGGTGCTCAAACATTCTATGCAGAAACCAAAAATTGAGCAGTAAATGCAAACACTACAACTGTGCGGAAATCAGGACGTTAAAGTGTTAACCCTCACATATATCCAGTGAAGTGACTGACCTCAGGTGATACACAGAGATACAAATCTTCCTACATAAGTTGTACCTGTCTGTCTAGAGCCTTCTCTCTACATCTGTTCAAAGTCCAGAATTTATTGAGTTTGTTTGAGCTTTCAGAAAGCAGGAGGCAGGGAGCTGAAATTACACATGGCAGAGCTCAGAGAGGAGAGACGAGAGCTGATTGGAGGGAAGGGAGACGCCCACCTTACACAGCACACAAGAACAGAGCTGAAGTTGTCAGTCACAGGCTGTGTGCGGGAGGTCCCTCCCTGTCACCTTTTTTTCTCTTGGTGTCAGGAAAATTTGTTGGACATGGCTCATGCAGTTAGCAGATGAATGAAGCAGCAGACAGAAATGACACTTAGTGCTCTGGATTTGTTCACTTTTCATGTCTGAGGTTTACAACCACTTTAAAGGATACATACATTTTAAGACAAAGTGCACTTGATGGCCACAGCCTCCAGCGATTGTTTACATCCAGCACCAAAGGTCTCACTCTTCTGGCTGCTCCTGCACATTACAGTCCTATAGACTTATATAGGGCTGTGTCCTGATGGTGGAGACAGCCCCATAGAAACCTATGGGACTGTAATTTTCAACAGTGGCCAGCCTTAAGCAATCACTAAAGGCAGTGGCTGCCAAATATTTTTTTAAAGATATTTTTATTGAGTTTTACAACACATAAAAAATGGGTTACATACAAGGAAAAAACCTCTGAAAGAATACCACCAATATAACAATAAAGCAACAAAACAGACAGTTGAGTGTACAGTAAGCAAATATATCCAGCATAACAAAGTTGGTGCTATCAATAGCAGCCAAAAGTACCAAAAGGTAATACAGTGAGGGAAAGGAAATCAGGTTTCTGGATCTGCAGAGGCAGCTGTATGAGGATTGGTCTACCCAACGGCCCCATACATTTTCAGAGTCAAGGTAGTTTTTGAAGCTCATAGGTTAGTCTATACAATGGGAGGTTATTAAGTAAAGTTTTCCAGGCCTCAAGTAACAGAGGAGGGGCACCTTTCCAAGACAAAAAAATGACCATCTTTACATAGAAATAAAGTGTACACAGCAGCCATTTATTATATCTAGAAAGGTGCAGATCTCCAAAGGTTGTAGAATATGGGGCAAGCCCAGACTAGTGGAGAGTAAAGCATTCACGTCTGACCAGAAGGCAGAGACAATAGGGCAATTCCACATACAATGAAGAAAATCCACATTTGCTCCACAGCCCTAAAAGCAGGCCAGCAAGGAACGCAAGCCCAGTCTATGTAGCCTGGCCGGGGTGAAATAACTATGGTGGAACAGGTTTACCTGAATAATAGTCTTTGGAGGCCATAACCATTTTGCTATAATACTGCTCAAACTCAGACCAGTCTGATTCATTAAGAGGAAGATCTGGCGAAGTCCTTGAGCATAGCTAGGGTGGGCTTCTGCACACAGTGCTAGGTAGTATTCAGAAATCAGCTTACTTGGACCTGAGGAGCAAAGAAGTTCGTCTAAAGGGGAGATACAGGTGGTGTTGGGTAAAGTGGTAGTAAATTTGTGTTCTTTGTGTTTGCCTACAGTAAGTCCTATAATAAAGCTTACCTGCAGGTAAAATGCATATCTCCTAAACATTCACTGTTTAGGAGATATTCTACAGAGCTGCAGCCGGTGACTTCACCAGCGCATGTGCTCTAAAGGAAAGGCATACTCATGCTGTTCCTTCAGAGCTGTGTACCATGGTTCAAACTCCCACAGGCATGTGCAGGTGTGACATTATCAGTGGCTTGGCCATTTAAGTAGCTGCAGGCCACAAACCCAAAAGGAAGACCAAGTGAAGATGGAAGCCCTGTCAGCAGTGACAGTGCACCGCTAGAGGGCTTTGTTCTAAGGTAAGTGTTCTGACTCAACCACAAGACAATAAACATTCTCTCCAGCGATGTACACAGCTATACGACATGGTGTTGAATCTATCTCTTGCATCGGGTCAGACAGTATAACTCAGTGAATAAACTCACAAGTTGAGGAAGTCAGACGAGGAAAACCATTTGAATGTTCCTTTTAATGGAGGATAATCATAGTAGAAAAACATTAATGTTGTAAGCCTCATGGAAAGATGCATTCAGGTAGACAGGATACAGTGGAATGACTACCAGAGAGAGGCAGGGGGGAGGGGATATACATAAGTACGGTGAGAGAAAGAGCTTAGCTTAAACAGGAGGAGACAGCTTAAAGACACAGAGCAATAATAAACAAGTGATGGTCACAGAGAAATAATAATAAATCAAATAGTGTAACACAACACTCCCCCAGTCTGAAATCTTTAGATTTCATAACTTCAAAAATATATATATATATTCAATAAGTCCAATTCTGATGAATGCCTTGGAACATGGAACAAGAAACATCAACAAGCAAACATAAACATAAGTTCAATTGGATCACAGAACATGTAGTAATCCAACATGGGACATCTTTAGAGAATACCAAAGTTCCAAGTAAAAAAACCTGTGGTTAGCAGTAATGTACTCCCTGCCGTGCAATATCATGGCAGAGTGGTAGCATGTCAGTCACCTGGCAAAAGGAGTACTAACTCTGTAATTGGGCTAGCAAATGTTTGTGTTGATCCTCCCTTGGTTACCTTGATCTCTACCTTCCGGACCTTGCCATCACCACTGGGCATAACTTTAGTAATAAGACCCATAAGCCATTCATTCCGACAAACTTCCTTGTCCTTTAGGAGAATGACATCTCAAATTCTCAGCAGCTGATTGGCATCAACTACAGGGTTTAGATTGAAGAGTGAACTGTTTTTGGGCAATTCAGTTCCATTTCTGATTCTCTAAAATTCCTCCTGATACACCTCTTGTTGCACAATGGAAAATTACCTCTTCTGCGCGTGCAATTTCTGCTGCTGTGGGGCATCCAGAACAAATGTGCCAGCCATGACACTCTGATGTAGAGTTCTTCACAAACCAACGAGCAATGTGAATTAGACAAGCAATAGTTCT